TGAAGCACTAGCCCTACTTCATTTACCTTCGATGCTCAACATCTCATGTACGTTTTTATTTCATTTATTAGGGCAGGCCCACTCGTTTTGAACTTGTCTCCTCGTACAGACCTTAATACATCTGCCTTTTTTATAAGATTAAGCATTATACTATTCAAACATGCTGTGCCTATATTTGTGATAGGCAAGGCAATTCTGACCCCTTATCACTTAGTACAGAAGAGTTTGCTGCTGCCTTAGTTGTGATTCCTATGGGGAGATCCCTATTTATTTATTTATTTAGGGTCAGCATTGGGGAAGACAGTCTGGTATTTGATGCCTTTATCACTATTGCGTTTGGTAAATTCGTGAGGCAGCTATAAAGGAAACAGACGTATAGCACGGAGCAAGTTTACTCAATAGGGTTATTGAGGATAAAGTGTACACGCAGGGGGCTTAACATGATCAAGATGGCGGATTAGGTCAAACAAACAGAGGCTAATGATTGGCCACTGTTTGTCCGGTCTCTGTACACAGAGTTGTACGACCGCACCTTTCAATCCTGGCGTGCAGGCATACGAGATGCACAAAGCGATCACGTGTCCCACAAGCTCAATCTAATTTTAATCAAAAATTTTATTTTTAGGATTGAAAATAATGTTAGAATTGGTGCAATCAAACTTATTTAAAATTTTTCTATATTTTGAGCAGACTTCCTTAATAATTTAATCAATAAAAATAATGCATCTTGTTATTACGAAGGCTCTTCTGTTACTAGATTAAATATTAACAAAGTTTTGCAAAAGATTAGGTCAAAGGTACTAAAAACTCTCCAGATTGATATGAATTTCAGATAAGTTTTCACCATGAGAGTTTCGAATGAATTTTGAGAATTTCTACAAGTTCCGGAACCTACAGGTACCTATTTTAGCTGAATGTACAATATCAAGCACAACTCTAGTTATATAAATGGAACTGAGAACAGTAATTATTTGCAAGATTACACAAACAGTAAATAGTGGAATATTTGAGAAACACGAATACCTGAATAATGGGAAAACCAGGACTCAATTTCTGTTATATCCATCAAATCCCCAAACGGAATCTATACATATTGGCATGCTCATCTAGCGATTCCTCCTATCAATAGGCAAAACTTCATTTAAGCAAATAGTCTTCCGAATCTATTGCTTGATTCATTCTCGGTAGTGAAGTTGTGACTGAAAAGTTTTCAGAGAAATAAAAATACAATTGTTCCATTTTTGACGAAAATGAATAAATTAAGGCACTGCCGATAACCAACGAGGCAAAACTATCAATCTACTGAGATTACATCGACCGTATTGTTGCTATATCTCAATGGAAACCATGGCATAACTCTGCAACATAAATGCTGGTAAGCCTAGTGACCGACATGATTCTGGCGAATCGTCCAGAACCGGAATTATTCATATGAAAGGATATCGGGTGTGCTTATTTGCACTCCATCCATATATAGAATAAAGGAATGTGTAGATGCAAAAGCAGTTGAGATGATGAGTTTGGAACAATCAACGAGATACCCACTTCCAAACCAGTTACCATGGCTAGTAGCTTGAACGCTCTAGTCAGTCAGATGTGTTAAAATGTGGAATCAATCATCCAGACTTCTAATAGCTTAAATCTCACCCAGAACCGAGATCAAAGTAGAACGATATCGATTTTACCTGGCACGGGCCTACTCATCTGCATTCCACTCATATAGGGCAAATATCAATTTAGAAGAAACACATGGCTGGTAATTTGAACACTACTCAGTAAGATATGTCAATGCGAAATCAATCCACCAGCTTTCAAGTAGCTCAGGACCTTTACATAATACCAACACAAGGCCACGAATTAATTAGCATAAGATGAATTCAACGACAGCATAAAAATTTGAGCAAGAGGTGGAAAATTCGATGGTAAAATTAAAGGAACTCCATATCCAAAGGAGTTAGACACGAAGTTGAATAAGTGCGCCAAAGATGTAGCAACAATAAATCCCAACTACTAAACCCGAAAGAACATTCAAACTCAAAGAAAATAGAAATCAAAGAATAAGACAAACACAGAGCAGGAGAAAGTACCATTAAATACAATAGGAAAAATGCATATCACATTCATCTCTTATTCTACCATTACAGAAGGAATACTGAGGCAGAAAACACCAAAAAAGAAGTTATATATCCAAATAGAAGTCTGAAATGTACGAGGAGAATAGTAGTGGAAAATTAACATGCACTCGTAACCATATAGAGGGGGTCATCTTCCGGAGAAGGATCAGCGTTTTCTTTCAGCTCATAAATAAGAGCTTCTTCGAGGATAACTTTACCTTCCTTATAGCGCTGACTCTCCTCCATTGCATACTCGTACATCCAACCGAGCTTCTGCTTGCAGTTGATGCAAAGGACATCACGCACCAAGTGACGACCAGTGATCATGACGCGATCCTTATGAAAACCAAACAAAGATAAAAATATATCTGGGTAATAAACGTAAAATAAAAGTACAAACTTAAGACGATCCCAAATACCTGAATTTCACTAAAAGTGACATTAACAACTCGATGAAACAGAAAGGCACGACCAGTAGATCCAGTGAATCTTGTACTGAGTAATTCATCTCTATTTGTCAAGGGTGTTTGACAGTGACAGACGAAGACTCGTTCTCCGCCTAAATGTTCGACAAATAAACGACCCATTACTGAAGTTCACTCGCAAACAAATATATCAGCTGGAATTATAGCTTAAGTTTGGCACAAGAGCCAACAGGTGTCTGGCCAATTTAAACACTCGAGGTCAGATAAATTAAAAAATTAGAAACTTTATTGCGTTTCAAACTTTCCAAGCATTACATTTTGGTTACAAAACAAAGTATTAGGCAGTTATATCACGTAATAATATTTATGTAATCATCAGAAAATTGAAATCATTTCTGACAATGAATAAAATTTTTTTCCGAAAGCTTTAATAAAACGTGTCTATTCCCTAAATTAGGACTCTTTAATTTTTCCACTTAGTAAATTCTGGTTTTGTTAATTGTCTTTTTTTTATCTGAAAAATGACAGAGTTATAAAACACAAATAAACTCAAAATTATTAGTTCCTATGCCGATGATATTTCCCGTTAAAATTTTGTTCGTTCACCCTGTCATGACTTAATGCCTTCACAAAGTCTTCAGCGAATATTATATATAGTAAAAAATTGTGATTTTGCAGGAGAGACTAATCATTCATTGCAGTTTCCTTGTCGGCTATCCATAGTGGATTAAAATATTACTACACGAATCAGTGATTAGTTTCGATCAACTTAGAAAATTCGCAACTTCTGAAATCGAAATAATTCTTTTATTTTTACCATCCGAACGGGTGAGTTATGTGAATTGCATTTTAATAGTAGATTATGTATACTTTTAAACTTAAATATTTGTGGAAAAGCGCAGTCCGTTGCCATCTTCCAGTAGCACACGATTTATAGAGATATGGAATTATAGGATTATCAGTCGGTGATGGATAAAACTAAAAGCACATAATGAAGAACGCAGATTAAACAACAAGTCAATTGACTTCCCGTGGGTGATATTTCAACTAAAGGTAGTAGGTAGGAGGAGTAGGAACTAACAGTAGAAAGTAGACGAGTTTCTGGAAGCAGAAACTGAAATATATAGCAGGGGTTCTGGAAAAAAAGCCAAAAATGGCCTGTTTAAGTTGGAAAAAGAGCGTCGAGTAACCGTTGAATGGATCAAATTTCATAAGGGCTTTATTAGTGAGTTGAATAAATAAGCATTGTTATACAGTGGCTTGAATTGACTCGAGGACTCGATCGGCATGCAAGTGAACGCATAACAACTCCAAATTGCCATCACTTTTCAAAGTTCAAACCATGATGGGGTATAGATCGTGGACAACACGTTGCCCATCGTACAATCTTAATCGTTATACTAATAGTAAATGCTTCATATATTAATTAAGATGTTAAAAACTAAGGTGATCAGATTGATTGGTAATTAGGAAACAAAATTTCTGAAGTAAATTGTTTCAAAAGTTGCAGTACTTAAATATACGATATGCTATTCTATGAGAATTTTTGAGCACCAATCGTTTAAAGCAAATTCATTATTAAATGAGTTATCAATTCATGTAAGTGACATAATATAAGATTGAAATTGTTAGAATGCATTCTAGTGCCAGCCCCTCCATTTACTACTAAAATATAATGATGGCCATATCATAACATATCGCTTTTACTTAACCAATAGTTTGGCTAAAGTAATTCTTTATTTATCTTAATAGGGCGTACATTATAAAAGAGTATTAAGGACTTGTCAATAATATTGTGAAACTCAAATATAATAAGACTGTTTCTAAATAGATAACCCAACACGCCATCATTACTTTCACTTTGAAATACTTCGAAAAATTACATAAATTTTATTCGCCCTTTACTCTGTTTGCTTTTACTAAAATATTGATTTAATTCTCCAATTATATAATTATACTTGTTTAGTAAAAATTAGTATTAATTTTATTTTTGCAATCATAAAATTACACTTTTTAATGTATAACATGCATTGTTATTTGCTTGCGTTCCTCAGCGCGTAGTTTTGATTTACTCTAGTTGTTGCGTTTTTTACATTTCTACTGATGGGAATTTTGCGTATGCTTGGATTGAGCAAACCGGATGACACCAAAACTAACCTTATAATTACGGGTCCTCCTGGATGTGGGAAAGGTACTCAGGTAAAATTATTATATAATTAATCGTCCAGGCTCCTCGTCTAGTAAAAAAATACGAGGTTTGTCATTTGTCAACCGGGGACATGCTTAGATCTGCTATAAGCTCAGGCTCTGAAATGGGTAAAACCGTTAAGAAGATTATGGATGAAGGTCGTTTGGTTCCTGATGATGTCGTTTGCAATTTAATTGATGAAAGGTTGGATAGTCCTGAATGCAGAAAAGGGTTTATTCTCGACGGATTTCCCAGAACACTTCCGCAAGCCGAAAAAGTATGCTGAATATATATATTTGAATATAATTTTCTTAGCTTGATGAGCTATTGAAGCGAAGGAAGGAAAAACTCACTGCTGTCGTTGAACTTCGAGTTCCTGATGAATTGCTCATCGCTCGCATTTGCGGTCGTCTTGTTCATTTAGCTAGTGGTAGATCCTACCACGAGGTCTTCAACCCACCCAAAGTCCCCATGACGGATGATGTAAGCCCAATTTCACGTTTTAATGCATTATCATTTTTAGATAACTGGTGAAAAATTGGTCCGAAGATCGGATGATACCAAAGAAGCCCTCGTTCAACGTCTCTCAAGCTTCCACAAAATGACCCATCCTTTGTTAGATTTTTACCAAAAGAGGGATTTACTTCTTACAATTGATGGTTCACGTGGAATGGACGAAATCTTCCAAAACATTACCAAGGGTATTGATGAGATGAAATTAAAATCTCACAATTATTAATATATAACGTTATGTAGTCCTAAATTGGACTGGTAACATTGTTAAAATGTAGGTTTTTCTAAATCGCTCCTCAATCTTCTCTTGTCTTGATTTATATGATTTTAATTGAATTTTTCATTTGGCTTTGTATTTTCTCGACGATCCTTAACCTACTTCCGATTGCAGTGTGAGTTTAAAGGCTGTATGTTGTAGAATAATTAATCAGCAGTAATTTAATTATGCGGTTGAATTCGGATGCTTCATTCTCCTGGAGCTGTATTGTCCTCAGTGATTAGACTATTTTTCTTGCTAATTATTTGGGATTATCATCAATTTAATGTTCTATTTTTCTTGCGTAAAAATGGGAAATTATTCCTTTAATAGCAGATGTTTTCTTATATCTGGTCTCAGATAGTTTCTCGGATTTGGTTTGTTAGTTAATTTACGTATAAAATACACCTTTGATGGGCATTTGAAAATCACTGATGTTCGGTGAACCCATTTTTAATAAGAGTTAAACTGAGTGCGCTTATCGAATTTCTTTTTTTGCTTCCCATAAGCAGCAGATAGTTGTTAAATGTGAAGTTGTCTTTACCTTGCCTATACTTCTTGTTTAAGCACTAATTGCGGAAGAGTTTGAAGGGGAACATTTTTCAGCACACTTTAAGTCCAAGAGCCCATTTTTGGTTTCGGGTTATAAACCCATGTAGACCGTCCTTTCTATATTTAAATGCTGGGGGTGTGCGATGAACTTACCTCCACTTGGGGCACCCTGGGCAACGTATACTCATACGGCAAAAACGTCTATTAACTGGCAGTTGACTTCAAACTACCATGACCTCGCTGTATGTCATATTCAACCACTTCACAGTACTCATCTTACCCTTTCCCCGGCCTTTGTGTTTGCCTGTCTCTTATATTTGTGAATCATTCTGTCCCCTCTCGACTTTTGTCACTTTGATGTATCTTCTCCTCTCTGTGAAGCTCGAAGTCAGCCAAAGTGCTAATGATAACCACCAAAACGCCTGCCATTTGAAATGAATATTTAATTACTGAATATGCAGCGTTTCGTGGTTGTATTTATACGTCTTTAAGCTTTCCCTGTTGAAATTTGGTGACCGAGATATCTGCTAATAATTATCTTAACTTAAATCAGGGATTGAATAATCCTCTGGAAATTTCTTCTGTTTGCATTTGGCATCTCAGTCGAGTGTTGATTTCTTCGGTACGCAAGTTTCCAACTCAGCCTTGCACCCCTTCTCTTTCTATTTGCGCTAACACTGTTTAATACAAAACTTTCTCCAGACTTATCATTGGCTACTGTTACTTAATGCTAGGCTTACGTGCATAAGACTGTTTCAGCTGCGCTGCGTATTGTACCGCAAGTTCAGGCGTCTCACTTCCTGTTTTTACACAAATAAGTTGGTATCTAAAGTAAGTGATCTAAAATAAACGAACGTCACTTCTTAATCAAACCGTAATTCTTAAAATGTCAGTTAATACCGAGTTTGCTCTTTTTTTCTTGGAATTTAATCATCATTGTTTCGTTTTCTTTGTTAATAATTATTTTACTTTACCAAATTCACTTTTTTTCGCTCACAGTCCTTATTTTGGCGCTAAGTGGGGGGGG